ACACAAATAAATTATCATAAATATTTACCAGTTCGAATCTTGTAAAAAAAATAAATTTATTATATTGTATTTGTTTTAAAAAAAGCGATTTTATTTTAAATAATAAGAAATTAGTAGCCAAAATTTTCCGAGCAATCAGTACTCTAAGTGAAAACGCACAGCGCTTCTTTAACTTTTGCTACCTTAATGATAATAAATATAAATATATAAAAATAATACATTTTCAGGTATAAAAAGAACAATCATATCCTAAATCACTAATAAGTTCTATGATTAGCACCACTTGAACCGCCTAAAACTTGATATACTTCGAATTCTTCTACTGAAAAATATTCACTAGTTTTTCTGATTGGTTTGTCGTAATACCAGTGATAACATTGACATTCACAATCATCTTTAAAATTTTTCGATAAGCGTAAATCACCTCGAAAATATGGTCCATAGTTTTTTGATGATTTAACCGATTCATGAAGTTTAGCTCTACTAATAATTGACTTTTCTGGTCTGTTAAGATTCAAATTAAAAAGAAAACTTTTATTTGTATAGTAATATTTTTCTTCATTTGGTGATTCCCAACTATTTGGATTATATCCACCTATAATTTCATTACTACCCTTAATCTTTAAAACTGTCAATGTAGGACCTTTATTATCACATCTATTATGAAAAATAGTTGGTGTAAATCCATCACGGCTACCTTTAACAAGTAGCTTAAAATCAAATTTTTTAGGTTTGTAAGAGCTTGTTATCCCAAAAAATCTCGCAATAGTGTTTCTTTTAGATCCTTGAACAATCCATTTGGAAATAAGTTTAAAATGTTCCTGGTTTATTAAATATACATCTGATTTTTCGGATATAGAATTTTCAAAATTTAATGGAGTTGTCACATTGGAATTTAATGGAGTTGTCACATTGGAACTTAGTGGAGTTGTCACATTAGAACTTAATGGAGGTGTCACATTGGAATTTAATGGAGAAGTCACTTTAGAACTTAATGGAAGAGTCTCGTTGGAATTTAGTGGAGGAGTCACGGGACTTAATAAAGGGGTCAAATTTAGTTGTATTGGCTCTTCTGAAAGTTGAATACTTATAATAGGCTCTTCAGTCGATTTATTTGGCATTAAATGCTGCACATTTTGTGGTTGTGGTTGAATCAGGATTTCCATATTGGATTCTTTTAATTTTAGATGCCGAAGAATTTCGAACGCTTCTTGAATATTAGGACGTTTATCAGGTTCTTCATCCCAACAACGTGTGTACAAATTAATATATTCTTCTGGTGTACCTTCTACTGGTTTTTCTCTTATTCCTTTAAAAATTTTAAATATTACTTCATCTCTACTTTTACAGGATTCGAAAGGTAAATGACAGCTTGAAATTTCCCAGAGAAGAACTCCAAAACTGTAAACATCGGATTTTTCATTGCGCTCATATTCATGATCAGCAAGGTATTTTGGATCCATATAAGCGGGTACGCCGCCTACAGCTTTTGTTGTTACCAAGTCATTCTTTTTGATATGTTTTGATATGCCAAAATCAGCTATCATCATTTTGTCATCGTGCACCAAAATATTCCTAGAGTGCTATAAAAAAAAAATAAAAGTTAAACTTGCTAATATAAACAAATTTAAATTTTTAATTTTTGAATATTGAAATTCTTACAAGGTCTCTGTGAATAATTTTTTCTTGATTCTCATGCAAATGTATGATGCCTTTAGCAATCTCTAGCGCTATACGTAGTTTATCATTCCATGTAAGTTTTTCAGAATTTCGTTTCAAATAATTTCGTAAATTACCGCCATCAGCATATTGCAGGACTAAAAAGTATTGATTATTCTTATAATCTTTAGCTACACCATGGAATTGATTGATGTTAGGATGATAGTGTCTCGTGATTTTTAGTAGTAAATGAAGCTATGTTTTTTGTACGATATATAAGTAAATTAGAAATTATTTATAAACTTTTTTATTATGAAGAATTCTGCCGGTACTAACCTCTTTAACAAATGTTTTAACAGCATTTTCATCTA